CATCTGGTACTCCATTTGCAATATGCTGTGAGCTGAGAATCTCTGAATGTTTCCTCAAAATTATTACCCAATTTTCCCAGCACGATTTGTTGGTAATGCTGCAGTTTTATCCCCTTTCCTCTTCTTTATCTCAAAAATATTTACATAGCCAACCTCTTCCTGATTCAGTGCAGATGTTTTTCACTTTTCAGGATGCCTTTCCTGACGCCTGCTTCACATACTCAGGTGGATTATGTCCTCCTTATAGACTCTCGACTCACCTGGTACAAAAGCTCTGTAGGATAGTGAATGTGTTTTATGCTTTTTGTATGCAATCAATATTTATTTAATATTAAATTATATATTAAGTATATTAAATTAAACCTATTAAAATATTAAAATATATTTAAAATAAACCTCATTAATTATTTAATTCAAATGATTTATTTTGGGAATTGTAACTAGCAAAGATGGACAGAAATATGGTAGAGCCACCCATAGCTATTATGTTCCTGTAACATTCTCCTTTTTCTTTTTACTGATGGTCTTTTTATGTTTCTGTACTGTGCTAATCAGCATGTAGTGGTCTAAAATTATTACAGCTTCATAGTGGGGTGGTATCTTTTATTTACAGAATTTCCCTCCATCTCATTTAATATAGTTTGTTTTCAAAGATATTTTGCTATATTTTAGGATATTTTATGATGACTTTTCCTCATCTATATTTGCATCGTAATTCTTTTCCATACATATATATATATATTAATTCTGTGTTTTGTTTTAGGTTTATTTCTTCTGCATGGCATATGATTGGATTTATTTGCCTTTGTCTTTCAATGTGGAGTTTCACCTATGATTATTTTTATAACTAATACATTTGTTTTTATGTCTGCCTTCTTGCTAAGGTATTATATTTTAAGGACCTTTGTTTTCTTTTTGGATATCTTGTTACTACAACGGTGCTTCAACAAGTTAATGGAAAAATAGAATTAAAAGACAATACAAATTTTTCCATGAACATTTTGAAGTGCTCTCACATATGGCCTGTGTTTAACATTTTGTTGGCTTCTCACATGGTTATCAACTTGGATTCAACTCTGCTTCACAAAACGAAAATTTTAGTAACCAGTTCCCTCTTAGTGTTTGGTGTTGTAAAGAAAATACCTAAGGACGTCTGAACTTTGTTTCTTCATCGCAGAAACTCTTCATGTCTCTTAATGAAATAAAGAATTTAAAGTATTTTCCACTTCGTTCTATAGACTTTTCTATAGTCCATATTGGTCAGGCAAAAGGGACAGGAAATGAAGTGATACACAAATTTAAACAATATTTGAGGGCCGGCCCGGTGGCGCACTGGATAGTGCGCCGCTTGGGAAGCGCGGCGGCGCTCCCACCCGAGGGTTCGGATCCCACATACAGACCAGTTCCCGCTCGCTGGCTGAGCGAGGCGCGGGAGCGGCACCGAGGGTTGCAATCCCGTTGCCGGTCCCGGTCCGGTACGGGGGCGACACTGAGGGTTGCGATCCGTTGCCGGACACGGAAAAAGACAAAAAAAAAAAAAAAAAACAATATTTGAGTAGGCCAGTTTTAAAGCACTTAGTATTTAATATGTAGCTTTCATCTAGTAGCATCAATTGTGCTGTTATACAGTCTTCCTTTTCATAATACTTTATCCACAACTATAGTTTGGGAATGTGCCTCCAATATTTTGAAGCTAATAAGAACTATTTGCATTTAGAAAATGTGTTGAGATGAAATCTGGCTTTAGAAAAAAGATAGTGACAAAGCACTTGGCCTTGTGAACCCTACCCCATTAGGTATCTTCTGCATAAACATTTTTCAGGCTCTGACAATTTTTGAACAACACACTGACCCTAGCTACCTTATCTCTATGTATCAAGCCATTGACCTTTATTTCCAAAGTGTTACTCCATGAAGGTCTTAGGATCATATTTATAACTTATTTCAGATTTTTAGATAATTGTCTAATGGGAAATGAGGATAGATTTGTCACTTTTTAATGTTGTTAAGAACATAGCATTTTTAAAAACCACTGAATTCCAAATTTGAAATTTCCTGAACAGCTGCTTCAGGATGGTTCATAACAAATGTATCAATGATGCTTGTGAAATATCTCTTGATATTAATCTGTGCATTTTTGTAAGAATTCTTTCTCTGATAATAGAAATTGTGAAATTAGGTTAGGAGAAAATTCCAAGATATATTAATTACATTAGTTATTCCTCATTGTTATCTGTCTCTGACTTCTTAAAGCTCTTATTTTATCACCTCCAAGGAAAGAGAGGGGACTACGCAATCCCTCTGGTGACTGACTGCAGACATGTGAATAATTGGTCAAGAAGGGGAGAATATTCTGCCTTGTAAATATTATACCACTGTGCTTTTTAAAAATGCTTTAAACAGGAACTCTCCATAGAAAGTAAAATTCAGGAAGGCACAATGAATTTCTTTAACCTTGGCAACTTTTACTCGTTAATTGATTTTAGTTAGTTTATATTTAAAACCTGTAGAAGAAAAACCTATGTCTGGGTCTTGAGAAAATAAATCTCTAGTCATACAATCTCTACCAATTTAAGAAAGTAGTAATGGACTTAAGTTGGATCTTTATGTGGTATATAGCTTTTTATATTACAAAAATTATAATGCAAATCTTTTCCCTAAGAACTTCAGAACCCTTATAAAAGACATTCTTATCCTGCATATATAAAAGTTGTTATGATAACAGATTGTATATTTTAGTGCTTTATTTTCTTTCAAAGTGCTTCTCTATATGCCATTTCTGCTTTATGGTATTTATTTTATTACACAAAGAATTAATATTTTGAATAGACTGGAAATTATTTTCTTACAAAAGAATAAATGGGAGATTTCTATATTTAGGGTGCGATGGATTCTAAGCCCAGCTATGCCATTAACTCTGGAGATCTGGGAGAACGCACTACACTTCTTGAGATTTTTGTTTACTCCTCTGCACAATGAATTACCTCTAAACCTCAGGAACGAGAAACTTCTAACAAAATGATCTTGTGATATTAATATTTATAATGCATTCTAACAGAAATAGCAATCTGGAAATGTTATTTTTCATTCCTCTTTTTTGCACAGCCCTTCAGTCTTTTAGCTGGTTCTTACCTTGTCTGATTTGCATACTTAACTGTTTCATCATTCCCTATTTTTCCACAGGTATTGTATGACAATAAGTATTTTTATTTGTTTTTCTTAATCTCATTCTCTTTAAAAGATACCCTAAACTCGTTGTGTATTGCTCTCCAACCTCAACTGCACCCAAGTCTTTTGAAATAGGGCATTATGAAGTCAGGTACCTCCAACTCCTCTCTTTTCCCAACCCATCCATAAGGAAGGGGCTCTCTCGTCAACCCTACAAATACACATCAGGTGTTATCAGCACCAAGATAGGAGCTGATAGGGGCACTGCATTATAGTACACTGGGCATGTTACATAAAATATGTTTTACAATATTATTAAAATATATGAAAATGTTTATTTAAATAAAAAGTATGTATGGAAAACCAAATGCTCAGGGAGGGAGTCAAAAGGCAAATGATTTTATTTTTCTCTGGACCCCAGAAGTTGTATTCTCAACCGCTGGTGTGTACATAAACCTTGAAGGCACTAGTAGAAGAAGTATACGGTTCAATAAGATGGTTCAGTGTGGGGGCTGAGAGCTGAGGCAGGAGAAAGAGGGGGAACAGGAAAAAGGGGGAACGGCTTGGGTATCTGTTGCCTGGGGTTCTTTGGACCTTGGTTCACAGTATTAAATCAAACCAAACCAAATAATAAAGTACATTGAAGAGCTCTACCCTGCGAGTTCCAGAAACTACCAGCCCAAAGAATGAAAAGGAAGGAACGGGGTACATGAATGACTAATAAATTTACATATAAACACACGCACATATATCATGCACTGTTTGGTCCCAGCAAGAGCCCTGGAAATGATTTTGGAATCAATACTACCTAAGAGTGAACAGTAAACCAAAAAGCAGAGTAATAACATAGCAAAGGGCACTAGATTAAATAAGAGAAATAAGAAAAACTACTTTTGAGACCACCTCTGGCATATATAACGTCAAGAACCATGGAGAATCACATAACCGTGGAGGGTCCTTACATTCCTTTCACATAAGGAAATACTTAGGCTTATGTTTTCTTCTCGAAGATCCTTCTGTTTCTGACAACTGTTAACCTGCGATCAGGCAATCAGTCTTTTGCTCTGTTTTCAGATATGTAATTCTTACTACCCTGCATTTTTGTCAGGTAGATGGCTTAAATGGGAAAATATTAGATTCTCTAAAATGGGTGACTGAAGCTGTTTCTAACGATACTATTATTTCTTTCTTATGTACCACATACCTCTATGAATAAAAGAAAAAAACAACAACACAGTCTATAATTCCCATCATTTTTGCAAATTTTGCCTAGATTTATCTCCTTGAGGGTTAGGGTTGAGGAGAGGAGAGCAATTTTTAAACTTGCTAAAGATTTAGTCAAACTGTATTCAAATCTGCCACTTATTAATTGTGTGATCCTGGGAAATTTTTTAACAGCTATGAATCTCTGTTTTTTCACATATAAATTTTAGAAAATAATAACACCTGCCTCAAAGGTTGTTAGAGAAATAAATGAGATAACACTCTTATAGCATTTAGCATAAATTTAATACATTGTCAGTGCTTGAGGAATGTCAATTATTAACATTATAGTAATAAATATCTATTTTGCGTCAGAATAATTGAAGGAGTAAGAAGGGGGAACAATTTTTTTTTACATTTATATAAGCATATGCTCCTATACAGGCATTTAGTAACTTTGCTTGAAAGCTTGAAGAAAAGAGGGCGACCATGAAACAATGAAAATATTGTGAAATGTTCTGGTCTGTTTTAAGAAACCAAATATTTTAAATGTCTTCACTGTTCATAAGATGATGCTGTTTTCTTGTCAAAGCCTGACACATATCTGAGCATGTAACATGTGTTTTCAGTGACTGTTGGCCCTCATAGGCCTGCGAGTGAACTTGCAGAAGACAGTGCTGCTGGGAGCAAGGGAGTGTCAGACCTCCAGGAGGTGGTGTCCCTGAAGGAGCGGATGGCGAAGTACCAGGAAGCCGTTTCCAGGGGTGACTGCCGCAGCTTCTCTGCTAATGTAAGCTGCTTCTAATGGCTTTGCATTAGGCAATGTGCTTGCTGTCTATCTAAGCTCTCTCCTTACATTTGGAACACAAGAATACTACTGAGCAGTGGGATAAAGTACAAAGAGCACCAAAATAGTGTCAATCAAATTCAGACGATCTGAACTTAGGTTTCAGCCACGATACTCATTAATTGCATGAACTTGAACTACTGTCTTAACCCGTCTCTGAGTTTCAGTTTCCCTAACTGGAAAATGGGAATGATCATTTACCACACAGGGTCTCGGTGAGGAATCAAAGAGATAATTTATGTGTAAGCCATAAGGCACGGTTTGAAAGTGTTATTACTCTTATTGTCATCACTTAACCCATAGCTATTCTCCTCAGGAAGGTTCGAATTAATTTCAAATTTTAATAATGTAGGTTTGCATGCTGCCCTCCTCGGTCTTATATATGGTTCATTTAAATTCACTGGCAGTATAATTTCTTTTGCTTTTCTCATTTCTCTGTATGCACTAAATCCATTAGGAGAGGCTTAATCAACATAGAAATGAGAGAGATTAGCAATGTAGGCATTCTGCTAAACCAATTATGATTATAGGAAACTGCAGGATTCAGTAAGACCACCAATTTTTAGAGCCAACGCATAATAAAGTCATACTCAAAAGAATTTGTGGGGTTCCATATTATGTGGCGTTCAGCTTAATGAAATATAAGAATATTCTTTTATAATTATAATCTCCAAATTAGCCAAGTTGTTTGAGAGAGAGAGAGAGATTAGCCAAAAAGAGTGGTATTTTAAAATAGCTACTCTTAACATACAAAGTATTTAGAGACAAGGCTTACTGTGCCAAACTCTTAGGAATATTGTAATTCTAGATAACATTTAAGTTTTTACATAGTCATTAAAATACATTCTAGACACAGCGTAAATTTAGAATGAATGCACAGAAGTGACAGAAGTCCCTAGATCACTTCCAAAACAAATAGTAGCACTACAGTGCCTCCTGCCAGTCTTCTTAGCTAGCACCCCCTGCTGGATCCTTAATGAACTTTACTACAAGTGAGTGTTCTAAATTGGAGAAATGATTCTTGGGGAACAACTGATTTTGAAAATTCCTAGTTAAAGACTGGTTATTTAGCAACAATCATTTATTTAGGAAGACTTCTATCTTTCCAAGAACTAGCAGAATATACCAGAAAACAAATTGGTATCAGAGCATGATTTGTATTTATAATGTGCTAAAAAGAAAATGTTTAAATTGGGCACACAGGGAAACTAAATTATCTCATTATTTAAGACAAAAATAAAAAATTTTAATGCTAATCTGAAAATACTATACATATAAGGAATTTAAATAATCCTTATCTTTCCTGCCCATTTTACCAGTAAGAAAACTGAGGAAAGTGAATTATAGGAAACTATACAATTAAGTAGTGAGGAAGCCAAGCTACATTACTAGTCTCTTGACTCCAGTACTCTTTCAATTGGATTCAACTTCTTTCTCTCATACAAAAAAAAAGTATTTTGGCCCCCAAAATACCCTACTATTTGGTTTGGCCTTAAGCAAATATTGTGGGGGGGAAAAAGGACATGTATTATCTCAGCAGAATCTAGGTAAATATCTAAAGCAAAGAAAAATAATTTGCCTTGTTTGGTAAGTTGCATCAAATGCTTGTTTCCAAATATCATGGAAACTGTGACTAAATCTTTGTCTATACAATTAGCCCAAATACCATAAGTGCAAAATCTGGAAGTCAGGGAGGTGGACCAAAACTGAATCCACTATATTTCAGTCATACTTAGATAGCTAACAATGATCAGCTTCTATTTGTCTTGAACTCAGTCACATGGAATTTGGTTGGGCTTAAATGAATGTCACGCCCAGAAGCCCCCTTGAAGACAACGGGAAAGTAACGTTTGTTGAGCAACAGATATTAAAATGCCAAATTCTGCACTGTGCAATTTTATTTTCTTTATTTTTTTTAACACTCACAATAAATCTGTGAGAACCATATTACTATGTCTAGTTTATAAGAAAAAAAACTGAGGTTCAGGAATTCTAGCCTAAGATTTTGTCAGGACTGGGATTAGAAACACTCTTCAACTCCCAAAATTATGTTATTTTTATTATACCTTATAACCAAAAGACAGTTCTTTGTAAAGGAAATTAATGACTGTGTAATATATTTACTTAGGTTTAAGTGTTAGGTATTTAAATTCACTTCTTATTATCGGCATACCCATTAGATTCCAAATTTTATTTCCAAGCCAAAGGATAAGAAACAGAATAATAACAAACATAAAAAGGTTCAATGCAAAGCAATCTCAGCTATGTGGTCCTTTGTAATAACATGGATTAGCAGGTAATTTAGAACATGGCGCTAAACCAGGCAAAGTCACGAGTGATGCCCATCTAAGCAAGGAAGCATGCCTCCAGCATAAGCCACAGACAGCTTCTTGAGCAAGTCCTGCCAGCTCACGTGTGTACACCTTCATCTACAAGCTGAGCTGAAAGTGGAAACCTTATCACCACCACTAAACCACATACTACGGATTTGTTTCACTGACGTGGGTGAGCAGCTGCCCCAATGTAATAGCAGTAACAGGGTTAGTCAGTACTTCCATTAAAAATAATCAATTGTATGCATTTTTGCATGTGTAACGTGGTCTGATTCCAAAGCATAACACTGAAGGAAAGTGTATTAGTCAGGGTTCTCCAGAGAGACAGAACCAATAGAATATGTATATAAGTATATGAGAGGAGATTTATTAGGGGAATTGGCTTACACAATTGTAAAGACTGAAGAGTCCTACAATAGGCTGTCTGCAAACTGGATGCCAGTAGGATGGCTTGGTCCAATTCCAAAACTCTCAAAACCAGGGAAGCCAATAGTGCCACTGGTATAAGTCCTGGAACCAAAAAGCTGAAGAGTCTCAAGCTCTGATGTCCATGGACAAGAGAGCAGAGTGTATCCCAGCTCCAGCAGATAGAGAGCAATTCACCTTTTGCTCAGTTTTTCTGGGTCCGCGGCAGATTGGATGGTTCCTGCCCATATTGAAGGCAGATCTTTTCCACCCAGTCCACTCAGGTCCACATGCTAATCTCTTCTGGAAGCACCGCAGGGACACCTAAAATGATAGCTTTACCAGGTTTCTAGGGATTCCTTAATCTAATCAAGTTGATGCCTAGAATTAATCATCACAGAAAAGAATGGGTATATCTGTTTTTTAATCCATTTAGTAGATAAGAGGCAACCTGTCCAGCATAGGAACTGATATTTTTGTAAAAATGCACTTACTAAGAGAGTATCCAGTCATTAGCATAATTACTGAGGCTTACGACTATTTTGCACATGATTTGGACATTGTAGTTGTTTGAAACAGTGAGGTTTTCTTAACAATAATTATCTTAATTCTTTAATATTTTATGTATTATCTATATATGATCTATCCAGGAAGGTTATTTATGTAAATTAAATGGCAGAAGGGGTAAAAAAAATATTGTGGACTTAATTCCAATTTTTTATTCTGTTTTAAATTTCGAAAGGGATGCCATATTTTCTCATGACCTCAACATGTAACAGTAGTTAATCAGGATTTACACTTAAGTTTTGTTGCAAATTTGATAGAATATATATCAAGTACATAGAAGTATACAATCTTATATTTTCTTCCCATAGAGCCAGTGTGCATATTCTGAAATATCTGATAGACTACAGAAGTGGGAAAATGTTATTAACTTGGTAAAGTGACCACTTGGGTATTTGCTAGTAATTCAGGTAATTCTAAATATTAGTTCAATCTCCAATATTCTGGAGTATAAGAAACCAAAACCCAAAGATAGTTGTCATGTTTTTAGAACCTTTTTGAGAAATTGCCTATTTGTGTAAAGATTCCAGGACCCCAGGAGTCCACAGTCCATGGTACAGGAACCTCAGCTTACTTTTCCCCAGGCCTCCACTTACTTTTGAGGTCTTAAGGCTTCCAGGGTTATGTGAGGACTGGACCAGACCTCAGGAGACCTGCTCTGGTTTGAAGTGTCGCTGAGTCTCTTCCCAGAAGCAAGCAGACCTGGATGCTTCCTGGAGCAGGGAGACCTGGCATGAGTCCTATTTGCTTGACAGCTGTCATCCTATCTGGGCTTTATTGCCTGCTGGGAGTGTGCTGAGTAATCAAAACCCAAGCTCCTAAGCTACTTCTGCACTTCCCGAGGGGGCACAAGATCTGTTGGGACTCCTCCAGTGCTTTTTAAGTTGCTTCCAGTAATATGGATTGAAATCAGTTTTCTCATCTATAAAATGAGAAAGATAGACTAGAACCCTTCTAACGTTAAAGCCCCCCAATTCTGACTTGCCAGTGCTCAGAGCTGAGGTCTGTGGTGTGCCAATCCTGGAGTAGTGAAGCTGCTGTCCTGCCTGTTCTTTGAGACCAGTGATTAAGGCAGCAGATGTTAATTCAAATTCCAACACCAACACTCACGTCATAGCTGTGAGAATGTAACAAGCTGTCTTACTTCTCTGAACCTCAACTGCCTTATTTTAAAATGTGGATAATAGGTCTCCATATCTTACAGAATATGGAGAAGCATTAAGTGACAGAATATATATGAATACATACAAAGTCACCTGGCACTATGCCTTAAGTAGCTGTTATTACTGATACTAATATTTTTACATAAAGGACATTCTGAAACTCTTTATTTTGTTCATCCTTAACAATTTAAATAAATTTTGGAGTGAATTAAAATGATATTAATTATTATTTTTAAGAATATATTGCCTATATAGATATTTTGAGATTTTAATGACAATCTTATTGTGGGTTAAAATTGAATCCATTATTCTAATATCTACTAGTCTGTGTATTATTAGGGAAATACATTCTAATAGGTCTAATCTCCAGACATCAAAATTTATCTGAAAATTAACTCAATATTTTGAAAATTCTTCTGACTTTATATCAAAAGGCTAATAAAGGAAAAAACAACATGGAAAGACTGTTTCTATTAAGGTTTTCAGTTAAGGCCTTCTGAAGTAATTGTGTGTGTTAATATCTTTTTAATATACTGCCCATCAGTAATTGTCAACTATTAAAACAGCTTGAGGATCTCATCCAATGCAGATGTAAAGCTGAATTTTCCTTTTTCTTAAATCATCTTAGATAATGGAGGAATCAGAAATGTGCACAGTGCCTGGTGGTTTGGCCAAAGTGAAGAAACAATTTGAAAAGGATGAAATTGCTTCTTCTCGTAATACCTTTTCTCAGTACCAAAACCAACACCAGAACAGATCCGAACAGGTAATACTACAATGAGTGATAGATAAACCATGTATGGTTGAAATGCTCTTCATTTCGGTGCCAATTTAGAAATTCCCTTCTTTAGTGATACATTTATTTTTATTACTCATTAATAAAGTTATAATTTTTAAATGTTTTAGAAAAATAATCTTTAAAGCTCATTGATGTATTGATTTACTTACTTGGAGCATTTTTCCACATTCCTAGAGAACCATGTTGGAATATTCTCTCAATTTCTAATGTTTCAGACATAAATAAAAATTAAGTAGTCTAGGTTAGTCAACAGGTAAATAGACATGTTGAGAGCAATGTTTATACTGAATTCCCATTTCTACATTATAATTCATGATAAACTATTTGATGGTTGTTTGCAGAGATTAAATTTGAATCATTATTCAGCCATTTATTGTGGGGAGTTTTCTATTTTCTTTGAAGTCATCAAAATTGAGTAGTAGAACTCAGATGTTATATCAAACTGCATAATGCAACTTCTACATGTTATCTTATATAGTCCCCCCCCATTTTATTACTACATTATCATATATCACCAAATATTGTCTTAGTATATAATGATATTTGAATGTGAGAATCTAAGTAATACTCATCGAACTGAGCTTGGCACTTTGAAAAATAGTAATTGCACTCTAAACAGCTGTACTTAGGCCCATGTTTTCCATGAGGGAAGAAGTAACTGGGGTATTTCTGAAATGTTATAGTGAGAAATAAAAGTGGATATGTTTTATTTTTTTAAATCCCCAGTATATCTAAAGTTGCCTACATTTTTAAAAATGAAGCAATTGGGTGTTATGTGTGGCAGGGGAGAGGGGGAGTATATCAGGTAGAATGATTAAAAATCTAACATGTAAGGTATTATTTGTTTCCTTTTCCTGCCTTTGCTTGAAAAGTGAAAAATGTACACTATAAGTAGCTTAATAAATTTATGGCAAGATTTCTTTCTAAGGTTGCCTAAAGGAAACATAACATAAATAAGAAATTAAGATTGGACATACTTGTGATCTAATATATAGCTGTTACAACATAGAAGTCTTTGAGTGAATCAAATGTAGATGTGTGTGTATTTACCTGAAATTGGTCAAAAATACAAAAGATTACTATCATTAATAATTTAACGAATTCTACATAGAAGTATCAGTAATTATCTTTACTTTGCAGGGAAGCAGTGCAAAAGAGTGTGGGACTATGAGCTATAGGACTTGTAGATCTGAGTTCACATGCCACCTCTGCACTTACCAAATGAGTGACATAGACCCAGGGCTACATTCAGGGATATGTGACCTGTGCAGTTGCACAGGACTCCATGCTTACAAGGGTCCTGCACTTAGTTTAACACTATGCTGTCTCCATCTTAAAATTCTTAGTAACTCTTGAACAAGGGACCCCACATTTTTATTTTGCACTGAATCTGGCAAATTATGTCGCCAGTACTGCATAAACCAAGTTCATAACCCCCTAAAGCCTCAGTTTCTGATGAATGAGGTGGGGAAACTGATGAGTGATTTGCCTATCTCATGAGGTTATTGTGGAGGTCTAATATGACAAAAAGCAATTTATGTTAAAGTATCTCATTATCCATAAAACTTAGTATCTTAGTTTGTTTTCTATTTTTTTTAAAAAAAATACAAAATTTTTTTCTTTCAGTTCTGGAGGTTGGGAGGTCTAAGATCCAGGGACCACATCTATTGAGGTCCTTCTTGCTGGTGGAGAATCTCTGCCGAGTCCCAAGGTGCATAGGGCATCACGTGGCAAGTGGGCTAAGTGTGCTAGCTCAGGTCTCTCATCCTCTCCTTAAAAAGCCACCAATCACTCCTGTGATAACCCATTAATTCATGAATGAATTCATCCATGTTTTAAGGCAGAGTCTTCATGACCCAATAACCTCTTAAAGTCCCTGCCTTTCAATACTACTATATTGGGGATTAAGTTTCAACATGAGTTTTGGAGAGGACAAATGTTCTTTGTATTAACTAAGACTCTCTAATATTGCAAAAGACATACAACCCAACCAAAAGTGGCTTAAACCAAAAGGAACATTATGGGTTCACAAAAATGCAGTCTTGTGGAAGGGAGGTTTAATGTAAGTTTCAGCAATGTAGCAGAGTTGGCTTGTACCAACTCTCCAATTATTAAATTTAGGGGAATTTTTCAAATGAGGTAACATCATGCCAATGACTTAAAATCAGCCATAGCAAAAATAATTACACCAGGGAAATTGGTAAGTGCAATAAATCAGGGATCTCTTTCTCCTTCCTTCCTTCCTTCCTTCCTTCCTTCCTTCCTTCCTTCTTCCTTCCTTCCTTCCTTTTTCTCCTGCCTTTCCCTTTCTCCTTCCTTCCTTTCTTTTTTTTCTTTCAAGAACTCATTATTAAATATGTATCACATTACCATTGATGTAAGGGCTAAAAGTATGGCCCTAGCATAGCAGTTAAAGGCATAGATACTGGAGCTAGCTCCCTTGGGTCCAAATCCCTGCTCCTTCACTTACTAGCTGTGACATTAAGCTAGTTCCTTAATTTCTCTGTGCTTCAGTTTACTCAAGTATAAAGTCAGGATTATAATAAGAGTAGTATCTACCTCATGGGTTTGTTTAGAGGAATAAATGAGTTAGTATTTGTAAAGTGCTTCAAATAGTGCCTGGCCCATTTTAAGCACTACACAAGGGTTTGTTAATAAATAAAGTATCACCTTAATCAGATTTCTTAACCTCTCAGCCTCATTTCCTCTGGGTTGGTCCCATTCTCACCCAGATTTCACCCAGATAGTAGTAAAAGGGATGCAGAGAAGGAGTGAGAATCCTCTTCCCAGGAAATAGCCTCCCATCATCTATTTGGCTCTGAATGGAACACATATACTCCTTTTGGAACTAACTACTGTAACCGAAGCTTAAACCTCTGTACCTTGTTTACCAGGTGGAAATTCTCAGCTGGGTAGAAACAAAACCAAACAAAAATATATATACATGATAAGCTCCTTGCAAATGTAGTTTATTATTATAAGATGCAGTCCCTGCTCTGTGTATGTGAAATATTAATGTGTGTGAAAGTAAATAAAAACCATGCACTATAAGTCTGAATATCCACATGACTGGAATTGTAGCCACCTCTCTAAACTTCAGTTCCATTATCTGTGTTTAGACATGTTAATAATACCAAGTAATTTCAAGAGGAATGAATAAACCTAAGCCATAATGCAATGCAATATAAATATAATATAAAGGATTCACAGGTAAGAATAAACTAGTAAATGCTATTTATCGAATGCCCACTGTATGTAGAAGTCTGTGGGAAAATAAAAGTAATTTGTATCTTAAAAAAATAAATAACTTTAATTTATAATCCTTATTGGAAATTTGAGATAAATGTCAAATTTGGTGATAGAGAGGAAAATGTAGAAAAATCATTTAAACTTTTAAAGCTATCTGAAAGCATTCTAAAAATCACTTCTGTTAGCAGCAGCAGCTGTGGACAAGATACTTGCTAGTAAAGACAGTTAGTTAATGTTGTCTTTACCTATGTATGATGCTGTCAACTCTGACGGTGCTTTCAATCTGCTTGTTGAAAGTACTTAACATTTATCTCTTTGCTAAGTCTGTCCCTGGCCAAAATATTTATTTTGTTGACATATAGTAATTAATATTAATTTGGAAATCAAATTTAATTAGGGTTAAAAGAAAGAACATTTGTTTTGGATTTATGACAGTATTTAATGTCACATTAGTAATAATTTTATGAAGTATAATAATTTAATCCAATCTGCCTCTTTCCTTCCTACTGTATTAAAGTCAGATGTTTCAGAGTAATTAGCTGACTATTTGGTAACAGTTTGTCTGGGAGATCATCAATTGGCCTAAACAAGTTTTGGAAATTAAGCTATTTCTGAGGTTAAAGATCCCTTCTGTTTGTTTATGGGTCAGAGGACTTGACACCTACTAAAACAGGGGTTTTGAAATAGAAAAAAAAGGGGTAGAAGATATAGAAACATTCACTTATGCCAGATATTTTAAATATAAAATGATGTCCTGGGCCGGCCCGGTGGCGCACTGGATAGTGCGCCGCTTGGGAAGCGCGGCAGCGCTCCCGTCCGAGGGTTCGGATCCCACGTACAGACCGGCTCCCGCTCACTGGCTGAGCGAGGGGCGGGAGCAACACCGAGGCTTGCGATCCGTTGCCGGACACGGAAAAAAGACAAAAAAAAAAAAAAAAATGATGTCCCATTTACATATTCTAGACTTGTCATGCCTGTTTAATAGTTAGCAGCAGTACCACTGCTACCCTGTGGAGTATCCGCATGAAAATAAGAAAAAGGAGCCACACTCCGGGTCCCTGGGGGAGAGGGGAAGGTGGCAGAGCAGGTTCAGCTTCTCAAAAGAATAGGTCAAGGAATCTTTATTAGGTTGCCCTGGTGGTTAATATTGTTTTTATCATCATGCACTTAGATTCTGCTTTTCAAAACAGCCATGACTGCTTGCAGTAGAAGTAAATGAAACCGAACCCTTTTTAAGAAATTATGTCACTCAGAATGTCTCCTGTTGATATTTAGGTTAGAAATATCCTATCAGACTTGTTTTTTTTTTTTTTAAATTTTGTTTTAGGATTGAGTTTTCAGCAAACTATGCCAGTGAAAATCAATAAGTATTTAATGCTAGAAAGTAAAGGACCACTTAAGAGGGATGTTTTTTATCTGCTCACTATAACAGATTCTATTTTGGGAAAAATACTTTTAATAAATTCCATCCTCTCAACCTTAATAGGGTGTCTCAAAATATGCTGGAGCAGATATTAGAATAAATGTGTTATTGGTGTGAAACTGCCATTGCCTCTCTCCTGAGTTCATTTCTAGTAGCCCATCCTATCGTTTCTATCTGTGATTTTTAGGACTTTCTTCTTCTTTTCCTTCTTTTTTCTTATTTAGTGGCTTTATTAAGATATAATTTGCAAACCATTAAATTTGCCCATTTTATGAGTACAATTCAATAACTGTTT